ACTATGGGACACCTCGAGGTGGTGTAATGGTTAGCAAGCTTGTCTCGCTAGAACAATTACGACTGAGTAGTGAGTTCGACCCTCACTGGGTGCCCCACACTTTCGGCCTTGTGCCACATCCGAGCTACGCTTGGAAAGTCGCTACTATGCAGCTATGTAAAGAATCATGGAATTCACATTGACTCTATGATCTCGACTAAAGCCGGCCTATTATCATCATCATCATCATCATCATCAGAATGTTCTCACCTGATCGATTTTTCAGGGAATAAAACAATTCTGTAAGAAAAGAAAAATAAGTACAGCAACTTTACTTGATTTCGAACTCTTGAATTTTGGTGTCATATTAATATATGATACAGTGTAACCCGGATATAAGAGAGTTGTCGGGACCGGTAAAGAAGTCTCTTATATCCGGGTTTGATCTATTTTGTTTAGGTAAGTATGGGAACACGTTGGGACCAGAGAAAATCTCTCTTATATCCGGGTTTCTCCTATATCCGGGTCTCTTATATCCGGGTTACACTGTATAATAAAAACCATTCAGGATTAGAAACTCGTATGCAACACTTTGGTTGTAAAATATTTGATCTATTACTTATTAATAAAATTAGGGAATTCAAGGTCTATCTTTGTAAAACAGAGCAAAGGAACGGACACATAAACCTTGATCTTTACGGAAGATCTCTGTTACTAGAAAGAAAGAAAAAAAAAACTCGTATGAACCAGTAATATCCAGGATATTGAAAGTGGGTGTATTGATAGCAGGGACATTCGGTGTTTTTATGTGGGGAAATGAAATTAAGAGGCCAAAGTGGAATGCTTGAATAGATACCTGCCGAAAAAAAAATACGCAATGGAAAATGCACGCGAAGGAACGCTAGAACGGATAAAGAACAAAAGAAACTCTGGTGCTTTTTCGCGTTTGCAGGCGCAAAACGGAAATCCGAATTTTTCCATTTCATTTGAGAAGGATAAGCAATCTGTTGAGAATGTCATCGGAAACGGCCAACGAGTAGGCATAATGGGTCAATTAGTTTGCGGACACTGTCCAAGAATAGACAATGGTCTGATTATTTTGGGCCCTATTGCCTTTACGGACGCAATATCATTATAGTGTTAGGTATTTTACCCAATTATCTCTTTCTGAGAGCTTTTTTTTTTTTTTGAACGAGCGAACGAGTCCCTTATCTGATAAAGGCATTCTTTTTCTTAACTATCTGTAAGAATATATAGAAGAAAATCATTTACGTAGACCAGTGGAGACATAGAGGGGGTTACAACTGGAGCCATTACAGTGAGTAAAAAAACTGTCTGGTTTGTTACTAACCGATAAATACAATACAATCTTTATATTTTATAATGATGTTCACCCTGCCGGAGTTCGCACGAGGTAAAGGCTTAGAGCCTAAGAGGAACATTTTATGCGGATAGCTGGGGATATGATATAGAAATAAGCTAAGGAGGAAAGTCAAAATAAATTGCACGAAAAAATAAATGACAACCTTTCAGTGATCCCCGGATGTCCAACAAGAATCAGCAAAGAATATTTTCTTCCGAATCTTACTTGTGGATCTCTTCCGGCTACATGCCTTGAAGTTAAATTTAATATTTCAAATACGTAAATAAAATGTCGATCACTATCTGCGGTCTTCCTGTTACTCTTCTGCTCCTTAGTAATGTTTCTGTTTTCGAATTTTTCTAAACCCAGTAGCCCATTGCATCTTGGCTTCACTGCTTGGCTTCCCTATTAACAAAAAGAAGAAGAAAAAAAAGATTGGTTATTGTTGCTACATCTTTTCTGGTGCTCCTGCTATGTACCAAAATATTCTTGACAAAATCCACAAAAGAATTTATAATGTTATCGCTCGTAGTCTGTAATCATTTCCCTACCGACTAAACGTAGCTAAGCTGTGCCTTTTCTATATATATATATTCATGACCATTGTTACGATGAACTTTTCTCCTAAGTATCTCGACTTCACTAATTTAAGCGCAGTACTGAATTGGCAATTAGGTCTCATCCTTTTACTGTGAAATTTGAAAATGTAATCGAAAACTATATTCTAATACTTTCTTCTGTAGTACTTCTCGCTGGTGGAACGTTTACCGTTTTCTTGTTTTCCTAAAACGTATGATTTTCAAACAAAATTATATAAAAACTATTTCGTCATAATGGCTTTATAGCCTTGCTTGGGGTGAATTGATTAAAATAAAACGGAATATAAAGATTCTATTTAAAACTAACCAAACATATTTTGAATCTGATCTAAGAAATTTAGCAAAGATGTTTTGAACACACGAAGCTTTGTTCGATATGACCTTTAAGTACAATTATGCAAGTTTCCACCAATAATTTACGCTTGTAAGCTGGAGTTCTCGGCCGAATGACAGGAACGAAACGTTAGCGTGAAAACTGGCAGACAACTTGAAAAGACTTCAGTATTGCGTGTCAGACAGACGTTTTCGATGTCTCCAGTGGGCACACGCGGAGACTGGTATTAGGAAGGTTTTCGTAGAGCGGAGATTTATTTTGACATATGTTTAGAATCATCTTTCTTTCATTTATTTGCTTTATTCTCAATTTTTTTTTTCTTTCGCTGTTGTTGTTTTTGGTATTTAGTTAAATCACACGCAATCTGGAGTTTGAATAATCTTTGCTCTTTTGCTCATTAGGTTTTCTTGGCATTGCTTTGATCAAACAATAGATTTAATTATAATAAACAAAATTATTTCTGAATCTCCAATGAAGGCAAATACTTGACAATAATGAGATCACTTCGCATATTTCAAACTATCCTTTTCGATGAAACGATATCAAAAATCATAGAAACCTTTGTCAAGTTCTCAACTAGATTCTCTCTCATATGTTATTAGCCCTTTCTAATTCGGTATTTCTTGATCGAGGATCATTTGCTAATTTAGTTTTAAATTACTAAAATCTTTCTTTTGCAACAATTTCTCAGGACAATAGATTTCGGAAGGCCAGTAACTGTTATTGTTCTTTCCAGTAATTATGGGGCTTTCTTCCTCATCTTTTGATTCACGCAGTGTGGAACGCGTCAATCCAAAAGGTTGCTTCACTGACACTGCTTCAAGAACTAGAAAGGATTATTATAAAATATAATAGACATAATGTTTATATCATTTAATAAAATATTCTTGCATAGATAGATACATACATACATACATACATACATACATACATACATACATATATACATACATACATATGAACTTGCGGAGATAGAGATATATGAACAATTTGACATAGATAAATATGAACAGGCTTATCTCTGTCTCTCTCTTTCTTTCTTTCTCTCTCTCTCTCTCTCTATATATATATATATATATATATATATATATATATATATGGAGAGAGAGAGGAGAGAGAATAGATAGATAGATAGATAGATAGATAGATAGATAGATAGATATGAATCCTCGCAGATAGAAATAAATGAACAATTTGACGTAGATAAATATGAACAGGCTGATCTCTCTCTCTTTTATATATATATATATATATATATATATATATATATATGTATACATACATATAAATAGATAGGTATGAATAAACTGACTTAGATAGATATAAATATATAAATAATATATATAATAAATAAATAATATATATAAATATATTTATATATAAATATATAAATAATGAAAAACCTGGAATAGATAGACAGGTAGATATATAGGTATGAATAAACTGACATACCTAGCTAGTTACCTTGCTAGGTAGTTAGCTATATATATATATATATATATATATATATATATATATATATATATATGGATCCATCCATCCATACATACATACATACATGCATACATACATACATAATGAACATCCTGACATAGATATAGACAGATAGATATGAACTGGCAGAGATAGAGGAATATGAACAAATTGACATATATAAAAATGAACAGACTGTTCCCTCTCTGTCTATATCTCCCTATATATATATATATATATATATATATATATAGAATTTGATATATATATATATCAATTTATATTGATAATATATATTATATTGATATAATTTTATAATATGTTTATATATATAATTTTATAATATTTTTATTATAGATATTATACTTATATGATTTTATAATTTTATATATTTATAATATATATTATATTTTTATAATTTTATATATTTTTTAATTTGTAGGTCTGATGATTTGGGTCGTGATTACGATTCCAATGTAATAAATTATAACCATGGTATATTAGTGTTTGAGCCTTATATATATATAAATATGACATAGTATGAATAAATTGACATAGCTAACTATCTAGCTAAATAGATAGATACTGACAAACTATCCACGAACAGAGTGGTATTGGCGCGAATAGACTTAAATAGATTGATAGACGGATACACATATAAAAAGTAAGAGCCAGAACTGCATTTATAGGAACAGAGTCTAAGAATTTGATATGAACAAACTTGAACAGTTGGATAAATAGATATCTATAAATATATAAATCATGTCAGCACATAAATTAATGGACATTAACATGCTTTTGAAGTCAATATGTATCTCGTTACACGGAATAAATGTTCAGACAATGGTAATAAATTCAACGGAACCTCATTTTAACAAACGGACTTCCAACTGGCTCACGGATAAAATTCAAAGTTGGCAACATTTGTTTATGTATCAGCAAATACGAGAGATAATGAAATGTTCTCAACACAACCAAGATGCCCATCGGCGGCAGAATAAAAAAAAAATGTGTCGGTGGGTTGAAATTTTCAGCTATAGTTCGCACAGATATCAAGCACGAAGAACAGAATTTCATGAGAAAATTAGAGATTTAGATAAGAATGGCGAAGTCCAGGTTATTGCCTTGAATATACTCAAAGGTATTTGACAGGGTGTAGCCAACTGGTCTCCTTCACAAGTTGAAATGTTATGTTTATTTTGATCAAATGTTTTTTGTTTTTTTATTATTTCCAAGTCTTTCTCTTTCAGAAATGCATCTTTTCTTTCTCTTTTTCCATGTCGTTCCTTTTCATAAAAAAACCTCTTTCTTTTCTTCTCTTTCCAAGTCTTTGTCGTTCAGAAATACCACTTTCTTTTCCTTCTTTTCAAGTCGTTCTCTTTCAGATATGTATCTTTCTTTTTTTTTTCTTTTTACAAAGACTTTCTCAATCATAAATACGTCTTTCATTATTCTTGTTTCCATATCGTTCTCTTTATTCTCTGTATGCATGTATTGATCATTCTAAATGCCTTTTTCCGTTTTTCTTGTTACCATGAGTTTATCCTTCCTAGTGTCTTTTTCACCTTTTGTTCTTCCTATGTGCTTATCCTTCTTAAGAGATATTTTCACGTTTTCATCTTTTGATGAATTTATCTTTTGTGAGTTTCTTTTTCAGTTTTTTCTTCTTTCCTTGGGTAAAGAAGAAACCGCGAAAAAGACACGAAGATTAATTTCGTGTCTTTCCCACATTTTTTTCTTTCAATGAAGTTATCCTTCGCTAGTGCCTTTTTCCCGTTTTCTTCTTTATATATGTCTACCCTTCGTAAGGATCTTTTTCACTTTTCTTGTTTTGATGTATTTTTCCTTCGTAAATGTGTTTTTTAGTTTTTTTTCTTTCCATGAGTTTATCATTTATAAATATTTTTTTTACTTTTATTCTTTCAATGAAATTATCCTTCGTAAGTATATTTTTCAATTTTTCTTGTTTCCATGCGGTTATCTTTCTTAATAGACTTTTTCCTGTTTTTTTTTTCTTTCCATCAGTTTACGTTTCATAAGTCTTTTCCCTGTTTTTCTGCTTTTCAAGTCTTTCTCCTTTGTCAATATTTAGTTCCCAACTATTCTTTTTTTCAAACTTTCTTTTTCGCTCTTTACAAATTAACTACGCATCTTCTATTTTACTCCCTCCCTTTCCCAAGTAGTCTCTGTCTCTTTCTTATTTCCACCCTCCCTCGTTCTTATTTACTTTTCCCTTTTCTAATCATCCTCTCCGTCTCTTTTTGTCTTTTCCTTCACCATATAATCTCTCAACCTTTCCCATGTTACTTTCCTCTTATCTCTCCTTTCCCTAACACATCTTCTTTCATTGTCTCTGAACTGTGAAGTGACGCTCACACATGTAAATTAGAATACCTCGTTTTTCTATCACTGACAATCTTTCTGTATCATTTCTACACGCTCAAATTCTTGCACATAAGAAGTTCTTTTATTCCATTTCCATTCTCACCCATCATCAGATTCCAATTCACCTCATCTCCATCCCAGCCTCTTGATTCCGTCACCATGGAAACGGATACGCCAAACGACTTCTTCGAACTCTATAATTCACAACCTTTTCTTCTCTCAACCTATACCAACCCTCCGACACATTACTGGAATAAAAACTGATTTTCAAAACCTGACAGTCGAAATAAGCCAAAAATTAGACATATGTGGCTTTCCATTTTCATTCTTTCTTTCTTTCTTTCTTTCTTTCTTTCTTTCAAAGGTTGAAATAATCATGAAACACGAATTATCATTGGAAAAGATGATGACGGACAATATATTCCTAACATTGTCAATTCCTGGCTTTGAATATTCTGCCTTTTTGTGCGCATTTTAAAAACTTATTGCCTATTCAAATATATTTTTTATTTCCGATTTTGTTTATTTTTAAAAATTTTCCAAAGTTTCTATCTTTTATTTATCTCCAATTCAGAGCTTTTTCTTTTCGCATCTGGTTCTTTTTTTCTTTCTTTCTTTCTTTCTTTCTTTCTTTCTTTCTTTCTTTCTTTTTTCTTTCTTTCTTTCTTTCTTTCTTTCTTTCTTTTCGCATCTGGTTCTTTCTTTTTTCTTTCTTTCTTTCTTTCTTTCTTTCTTTCTTTCTTTTTTTCTTTCTTTCTTTCTTTCTTTCTTTCTTTCTTTCTTTCTTTCTTTCTTTATTTCTTTCTGTCCATGGATTCTTCCATTTTGCTATCTCTTTCTCTCACTCTCTTTTTTCTTGTTTGTTTCCTTTTCCGATTTTGGTTTCTTTCTTCGATTATCAATCTCTTCTTTGTTCTTTTTTTTTGTTTGTTTCTTTTTTCTTTCTTTTTTCTTATATCCATCAATCCTATCTTTCTTTTTGGTTCTCTCCATTGATGTTTTATTTATTTATTTTCTTCTTCAGGACAATCCTTCATTCTTTCTTATTATTCATTCTTTGTTCTTTCCAGCGCTCCAATTTGTCTTCATTTTTTCTTTCTTCCTTTTTTTCTTTCTTCGTTCTGTTCATCGATTTTTCCTTTCTCTCTTTCTTTCCTCTATGTATTTATCTTTTCTTTCTTTATTTCTATGGAGCCATCGTCTTTTCTTTCTTTCTTTCTTTCTTTCTTTCTTTCTTTCTTTCTTTCTTTCTTCTATCACTCCCTGTTTTCTTTCTTATTCTTTTTTATTTGTTCTGTCCATCGATTTTTCCTTCCTCTTTTCCTTCCTCTGTCCTCTTATCCTTTCTTTCTTTCTTTCACCAAAAATGTCACGAGTGAGAAATTTATCTTTCATTATTAACATTTATTTAATATTCAATTGAAGCAGAACATATTGTTTCACAACGGAATACTAGAAAATATTGAACGAACCGAATTTTCTAAGAAAAAAAGGGGGAAATGTAAAAGTTCTCACCGAAAACATAAGGATGAAGAGGAAGAGCAAACAAAGCCAAAAGAAAAGAAATCCGCAAATTAAATATGGGCACAGTAAAGTTAGAGGTTTTGTGCTGACGAGGAGGTTGCCGGGCAATCGTCAGAGAAACATTCAAATCTCATCCACTATGTTGGCGCCTCGTTTTGATTTCGTTTTTGCAAAAAGGTATTGAGACAAGCTTAGTCATGGCCGAGTAGCATCATTCGCAACAACACTACAAGTTGTACAAATGTGGGAACAGAATAATGGTTGGAAAGATAAACAAAAGTAAAAGGCAAAACAACAAAAGAAACTGAAATCAAGCCGATTGAAAATCGATAGTACGAACTATTTTAATCAGTTACAGGTTGTTTCATGATTTGCTTTCTTGTTACTTTATTGGGGGGTTTTTGTTTAACAGTCACATTCCCTGTATAATTTCTGTTTTTTTTTATTTTATTTTTTTGTTTTTTTGTTACTTCTGTCTTATATTTGAATTGTCTTGTTTAATATTCTTCGTTTTGTTAACTTTTTCTTTCCTCTCTTTGCTTGTAATTCTGTATTTTCTTTCTTTATAAAATCGTCTGTTTGTTTTCACAATTACTTTTATGACTTAGTTATTTTCCGTTTCTTAAATTTTTCGTTTTTAACTTTCTTTTCATTTCTTCAAATTCTCAATTTTGCTCTGTTTCTTATTTTCCTTTTCTCTTTTAAATCGCTTCTTTTTTATATTGATTTTTCTTTTGTCTTTCCCTTCACGCTTTCTATTTTAAATCGCTTCTTTTTTATATTGATTTTTCTTTTGTCTTTCCCTTCACGCTTTCTATTTTAAATCGCTTCCATCTTTTTTTACTTTTTATATTTCTTTTTTCTTTTTTCTTTCCCATGTCAAATTCAATTTTCAATATCTTCTTTCCTTTTTTCTTCCTTATTTCTTTCTTTTGTTGATTTTACATTTCTTCTTTCCCTTCTCGATTTCTATTTTAACTTGCTTCTTTTTATTCTTTCTTTTTTTCTTTCTTTTTATATTCCTTTTTCTTTCTTTTTCCCTTCTCACATTCTATCCTAAATCACTTCTTTCTTTCTTTCTTTCTTTGGTAGCTTTATTTTTTTCTTTTAAATTCTTGTTTACCTTTCTTTTTTTTCTTTTCTTCTCCGATGGTTTCTTTCTTATGCTTAAAGTGATACTTTCTTTTTTACATTTTCTTTTTTTCTTTCAAATACTTCTGTGGCTATATTTTTACAATCATTCCGTCTTTCTTCGTAATGCACTTGACGTATTTTACCAACATGCTGTAAGTTTGATCTGATGCATACACATGCTTTGTAATATTTTAAGGCTTCAAGCTTGTCTACAGTGCATCAAAAGGAACAATGTTATTCTGAATGTATTTAGAATTAGGATAGATGCTCTTCAGAGAAACTGAAAACACCATTTATTGGACTTGCATGAGTGATTTAGGTGGTGAAAATGGATTTGTATTTTGTTTGGAGTCGCCGTGATATGCACTCGAATGTACATAGTATTGATACGAATTTCGATCCGCTCACGTGATTGCCCTTGAAATCCTATCAATAACCGAACGATTTTCCCTTTGCCAAATCTGGGCTTTTATAGATAATTCTCTATAACAATTTTCGGGATTATAAAGATAAAGATGAACATTTATGTTACTCATATTCTCGCTATTCAGACTATCAATTTTTCCTTTGCTCAGTCTCTCAGTAAAATAGTGGAGTTACCTAAACATTTTCCTAATTATTGTGATCAACATGATTATTTTCTTGATTTGTTTCTTACCTTCTCTACTACCCTCTTGTCAAGCATCATAACTCCGTCATCTAGATTCAACTTGGATCACGTTGTAGTATCTGTTGATATTTCATTTTAATTATCTATTAGACACTAACATTATATTCTTTCTGTTACCAGCGTACTGATTTGGATTAATTTAGAGATTCTCTTCGAAACGCCCTTCCATTGATGTTCTTCTATTGAAAAAATTGCGACACGGAGGTTTCTTCTTGGGTTCAATACAATATCTATCAATGCTTTTGGACCTTCACTGAAATACCAGGTGAAACCACAATATTCTCCTGGGTTCACACCTGCCTGTTCAACCGCTATAGCCCACAGGGAATACTTTTTTCCGGCAGTACCAGCGTTATATTTCCAATCACAACAGTAGCCTCTTTTTGTCTACTCGTAATAATTTTAAACGCGTGATTCAAAGTGTCTAAGTCTTCGTTTGCTGAGGGAATGAGGTACCGTATAGCCTCCAACAAGTTTCGTTCTTGTGACAACTGGTGACTCTTTAATGTTGTCTTAAATAAGAGTAAGTCTTCTATGTCCCCATTCTATACTCAACCTATTGTTTTAATATCTGCTGATAAAGCAGAATGTTTGGCTCGTAAATCTTCTTCCAATTCTATTTTGACTCATTTGGGGTATCTTTGCCTGTTTTCCACTTATAACTGAATCTCTGTTGTGTGATATGTCTGTTCATGGTTTCTACTATCATATCTAAATTTGATTCCAACAAAGCATGTAGACTTGCTGGTATCCCCACAATAATTCAGATGAAATATGCCCCTGAACTGGCTCCTGTTCTCTCTAAAGTCTACAATAGATGTCTTGCTGCTTCTTGCTTGCCTGTTTTTAGAAATCCCCTTCTGTAGATCGGGTATCTAAGGCGAACAATCTGATTCTTCTAAATATTAGCATATTAGTGTTCTACTTATTTTTGCCAAAATCTTAGCGCGTCCAATCAACTCTGGATTGCCTCTTACTTCACAGGGTAATCTTTCAGATAAGAATATAGGTTTCGCTTCTCTAGTACAGTATTTCTGGATGATTTTTGTGAACTGATTCAATCTTTCTGATCAAATCGCGAAAAGCAAGTAGTTGTGAACGGTCACCCATCTAGATCTTTTTGCTTTAGTGCAGAGTATCCCCACAAAGCTCTATCCTTGGACCTACATCGTTTCTAATTCCCATCAACCGCCTTACTGATGTCATCAGTTCTCAACTCGCTATCACTGCTGATGACACAAGTATCTACTCCTTTCTTAATATTAATCTGATAGGTTTGATAAAGTCAAATTGGTAACCGATCTAGAAAAATGCGAACAATCATTTCCTAACTTGGTCAACGAATAGCTTGTTAATTTTAACGCCTCGAAAACGAAACTTAATTTTTTTAATCGTCTGACAGCACCTGTCTTGCCTTCCATCAGCATGGTTGGTGACAGCCTTCAGCGACTCATTGCGCCTTCTCGGACTAACATCTTCCACTGACATCAAATCGAAAGATTATAATGAATCAATTGCTTGGTCTGCTGCTAGGAAAGTTGGTTCACAGTGTCGTCACTTTTTCTTGTCAGCTTCATTAGGAAAAAAAGTCATTATTCACAGCTCTCAGACTACATTCGTTTTAGACGAAGATATTTTATTCGAGACTGATTAAAGAAAAGATATAGATAAGAATATTCCCCCACCCCAAGTGCATTTTCCAACCCAACTGAAGAATCATTCATCAAATGCGTGACTCGTTTAATGAGCCTCATATTGCGATATACAGATAAAAAAGAAATCCATTATTTTAACTTGTTCTTTGTTCATACTAAATTCTCTGTACAAGTTGCTGAATTGTTAACCTACTTACATTATGCATGTGCCAAAGTTTCTGGCCTGTGAGCTGCATGAGGTATGGCTCATTGTAAGGCAAGTCTCTCTAATAAAAAAATTAAAGTCATTTTTCATTGAAAGTAAAGCAACCATTTTCACTACATGATGCTATTCTGATTAACATATGTTGCTGCATGTGATTTGTTTCTTATTCATTCGAAAATAAAATTAGATCTCAGGTACTTCTAAATTATAATCCGAATATTCTCTGCTGACAATTAGAAAAATCTCTGGTCAAAGACGGATTGTTTACGAGAGTTTCTGCAATCACAGACATAGATGCAGATTGTCGCATTGCTCTTTACGAAACTTAACTGGCACTTGCTGATCAAATGCTATCTGTAAAATCTAGATAGTTCTGACTATATATTCATCATTCTTATGTGCGTATTCCATAATAGGATCTAATAGATTTTTCTCTCCATATTCATAGGGAACCTATTCTCTATTTACTTTGATGATGTACAGGTAATAAGAAAGCTATCAGTGTATAAAAAAATCGAAATTTAAATAAACGTATGATGACATTTTCCTAAAATTTAATCTCTTAGTAATATCAATAATTCCTCTCAGTCTGAAAAGAAGTGCATTCCACCAATTATTTTTTTCATAGTCATACACACCATTTCTACAGCTGCTGTTATTTAAGTTGCAACTAAGTTTTACGGGATGAAATTTCTTAACCCATGTACAAACGGATTTGAAATCAGAATGTTTTCGATTAATTTGCCTGTTTAACTCGACATCAATTCTTTATAGGACATTTAATGCCAAAATTCAATTTTCTTGGGACCTTGGAAGTTATGAAAATATGATATGTTATTCTGCTTTCACAACGGAATACATGGTAGATGATACTCAGATTTTGTGGATATACATATTTGTATGGACGTAATTAATAGAGGCAGTGATGCGTGTTTTATGTTGTTTTGTTATATTTTGGAATACATTTTGATTTAGGAATTTGTAGGATATTATAAGGCTTAATGTCACGAAAGTTCTTTTATATTGAGTGTTTCGTAGTATTTTAAACGGATTTGGAAGAATTCGCTAAAAATTTTAATATTTTAGGTACTGTTGGTAATCTAAAAAAATATATAGCTGGTATTTTTACAATAAAATGTATTTTTATACTTTTATAGTGTTTTTTATTTGGCTTGAGATGGGACTCTAAATCATGCTACCGTCCCTTATTAGGTTGAAGCTGGGAACAACAGCAATTAAGTGGTGGTTCCACGCTCCTCAAAAACCTCCAATCTAGCAATCAGAAACCTTGTTGCTAAATGTAGTTTATCTTCATACTCAGGACATTGAATTCAGATAGCTGTTCGGTCAATGAATGATGAATGTCTGCTTATTTGGAAAGTGTCAATATTACCATTAACATGTTCTTAGACCGGTTGCCACTGAAAGTTAGTTTAACTACTTCGTCCTGTTATTTAACCCATAGCTAAGGGAAGAAAAGATCAATTCAGGAACCTACGCGCGAAAGCGAATGCAGCACCGTCGGATTGATTTGCTGCATCGATTAATGCTATTTCACACGGACATCTGCATCTTAAGAAAAAGAAAAAAACGAACAGACAATTCACGCATCATTTTAAGACGTTGAAATACCATAAAAATTATTTATATCATTTAATAAAGATGGTAATGCAACGTTTTCCGATCGTAAGGTTTGTATTCGTCGTTGACTTGTCTTAAATATAGCCAATGTTAACTAACCAATAGCAGCTGTACTTTTTAAACTGTTCCCCTTAAGGCTCTTGCTTTCTACATAGTATTTCCGATAATAAGGTCATTTTCCTACACACATTTGCAAATAAATTCATGTTCGGTTATTTTAATGTCCACCATACAAGGTGGGTTAAAACCCTGTCACTGACCTTGCTGGCATCCAAACCTTGAACTTCACAATCACTAAAACTTTCACTCAAGTGGTTGACTTCCCTATACGTTTCTCTAGTAACGTTTACGGAGATCCTTCTCTTGTCGATCTTTTTTTTTTTTTTTTACATCTATCCCTGTCGTATTACGCAGATCTGCCATCTTGGCAACATTATGTGGTAGTGTCTGTAAACATCTCCTTCCGCTCCTAAACCAGCCAAGAACCAACAGAATATCTTTCTGTTATTGAGGAGCAG